CTCAAGTGGAAATGTAAACACAACATTGTTTATTAACCTCAAGTGGAAATGTAAACACAACGTTGTTTATTAACCTCAAGTGGAAATGTAAATATAACGTTGTTTATTAACCTCAAGTGGAAATGTAAATATAACGTTGTTTATTAACCTCAAGTGGAAATGAAACATAACGTTGTTTATTAACCTCAAGTGGAAATTTAAACATAACGTTGTTTATTAACCTCAAGTGGAAATGTAAACATAACGTTGTTTAGTAACCTCAAGTGGAAATGTAAATATAACGTTGTTTATTAACCTCAAGTGGAAATGTAAACATAACGTTGTTTATTAACCTCAAGTGGAAATGTAAACATAACGTTGTTTATTAACCTCAAATGTAAATGTGAAGCATAACGTTGTTTATTTACCTCGAGTGGAAATGTGAAACATAACGTTGTTTATTAACCTCAAAATAAAATAAAATCTTTATTATCACAATGCAACTAAAAGAAAACACAGACTGAGTGATAGTTAATTCTTCTTCTAGGTTATGTTTAGTCCCACAACTCAAGGCCTGGTGGTTAGGGTGCTCGATTCGAAATCTGCTGATCGCGACTTCGAATCCCGTATCACGAACATATTTGCTCTTTTAGCCATTGAGGCATTATAATGTGACAATCAATCTCACTCTTCGTTGGTAAAAATGTAGCCAAAGAGTTGCTGGTGGGTATTATTGACTAGCTGCCTTCTTTCTAGCCTATCATTGCTAAATTAGGGACGGTTATCATAGGTTAGGGCTCGTGTAGCTTTGAGCGTAATTCCAAACAGAACAACAACAAACAAGAGCTTTGTTTCTCCCGGGACTGATATCTGTAGAACTAAAACATGATTATCTTCAAGTGATGTCCTTACTCGATGATATTCTCGTAGAACTGAAACAAGAAAATGTACCTCAATTCTACAGGTAAACTATGTTTGTTTGTACGCTCAAGTACACTCTTACAGTATTGGGTGGTCGTAACATACAGGTGCTGTCAATTCTGCCAGCAAAGGCTATTACAATCACTGATTCTCTCAACACAGATGTTTTATGTTTCTGCAATATCCACTTAGAAAGTATAGACATCATCTGCTAAAAAAAAACCGAAGAAACAAAGTAATTACCTCAACGGCTTTCTGAACCTCGTGTTAATGTTAGAAACTAAATAAAAGAAATATTTTAAAAGTACCTACATAACTAAAAGCAGTTAGAGAACACGTGTTGCTTCATTAAAACAAATATTTGACGCATTAGAATTATGGAAACACCTATTTTTCATTAAAAGAAGTTTTTCACACATTAAACATATAGTAACACCTGTTTACCGTTAAAACAAATATTTAATATATTATACTCAGGTTGAATACATTGTATTAAAACGATTTTGAAGCCTCAAAACATCTTTACAGCCCATTTTGCCACTTCTGGTCATGATCTATCTGACGATCGTGCTTCTTGACAAAAGCCCTGCATCGTAGTTTCCATTGCAAAAGGATCCTTCGTGAAGTTATCATGTTGAAAGCACATCCTTCCTCCCTGCAAGGTATTCATAGTCCATCTAGTTAATTAGGATAAGAACTTCTGAACGCCCGTTTGAACAGTCATTTCACACACAAATCCATAGGCACTACGTCCAGTGACTTGATTGGTATAGAATACCATAAAAACCTGTCTCACTCTTGAGCTCCTTGAGGTGAGCGACTGTTGAACAGATATGATGTAGAAGCATCTTATGTATATAAATTGTTTCGCTTTTACAAACACAGATCCTTTTTGATCATGTTATGTACTGTTGCCTGGAGCATATGGGCAGCTTTTTCCAATGACCTTTGTGTTGATGGTTTCTCATTTGTTACAAGACGCCGTTTTGCTTCCCACAGATGGGCTATGATTTGTAAAAGGTCTCTTTCTGGATGGTCCTGGTGTCCCAAGTTGATCCGTATTCGTTTGTTTTCTGATGCAATTAAGTACAATGGATATTCCTGTCTTAGAAAGTTGAAATCTTTGATATGAACAAATCTTTGTGATCTGAGTGTACTAATATCGGTGTTATCATACTAACTACGTAACTCCAAAAATATGTCCAAAGGTAGTTCCGAAACATGCTGTTATTTCGGTTGACTTACTGAATTGCGTTATTAAAAACGTTTTAATATAACGTTTTCAACCTTCTGTAGTTATGGACACACCTATTTGGTATTAAAATAAGGTTTTCACACACACACGTTGTACAGACGTACCAACATGTGTTTATTATTAAATAAATATTTTATACTTCTCAAACTGAACACAGGGCTACAAAGAAACTAATGTTTACCTATAAGCGGAAGATTTTCACGTGAACAGCTATATGAAAGTTTCCTTGTACACTGCTATACCAACTTGACCTCGTGACCTTTCAGTCTGATTTAATGCGGTATGTTGAGCGCCAGAGTCTATACAGTTTAGAGAAAAAGACAATAACCGGGTTTCATTTCTTTCCGTTTACTCGAATCAATCAGTAACGATCTTGAACGATGTGCATGCTTATTTATTCCTTTGTGAAGTCGTCAGGTTTCCGACCATCTACACAAAATTAAGATGTCATGTAACGATGAAAACGAATTCACAGCTGGTCTAAAAACTGGTTCGTATGTTGTTTTACTGTTATTTTTCTGACAAAAACTATCACATGTGAAATGCATTTTGGGATATTATCTTGTAAAACTCACAATCCAAACAATTTTTAACTCAAACATAAGTCTTCTTTAGATCCTATAATATCGTATTTCATCATGGCTTCTTTAGATTCTATAATATCTTCTTTCATCATGTTTTCTTTAGATCCTATAATATCGTATTTCATCATGTCTTCTTTAGATCTTATAATATCGTATTTCATCATGTTTTCTTTAGATCATATAATATCGTATTTTATCATGTCCTCCTTAGATCCTATAATATCGTATTTCATCATGTTTTCTTTAGATCCTATGATATCGTATTTCATCATATCTTCTTTAGATCCTATACTATCGTATTTCATCATGTTTTCTTTAGATCCTATAATATCGTATTTCATCATGTCTTCTTTAGATCCTATAATATCGTATTTCATCATGTCTTCTTTAGATCTTATAATATCGTATTTCATCATGTTTCTTTAGATCATATAATATCGTATTTCATCATGTTTTCTTTAGATCTTATAAT